ATTTCCATATGCTAGCAATGAACAATTAAAAATGAAGTTTACAAAAACAATATCACTGACAAATAATAATTGAGAAATACATTGTGTTCATGGAGAGGAAGGCAATACTGTGAGGGATTTAATGCAATCCCAACCAAAATTTCAGCAGACATTTTTGTAGAAATTAACAACTTGATTGTAAAATTCATTTGAGAATGCCAAGGACCAAAAATAGGTCAAAAAACAGAACAACCTTGGAGGCCTAACACTATCTGATTTCAAGACTTAGTATAAGGCTACAATAATCAAGGCAGTATTCTACTAGCATTGAGATAGACAAATAGACCAAAAGAACAGAATAGAGCAAGCCCAGAAATAGACTCATACACATATGGACAACTGATATCTGACAAAAATGCAAAAGCAATTAAGTGGAGAAAGAACAGTCATTTCAATAAACGGTACAGGAACAATCAGATGTGCATATTCAGAAAATGAACTCAATGTATATCACAGAGCTAGATGTAAAACTTAAAACTATAAAATTTCCAGGAAAAAAAAACACAGGAAAGAAACTATAATCTTGGATCACTGAAAAAGCACAATTTGTAAAAACAATTTGAAATTGTGACTTTTTCAATATTTAAAATTTCTGTTCTTTGGTGGCACAAGAGAGATGGCAGAGTTGAACGAACACTGGGCAGTACTGCAAGATTTTCTTTCATTTGTGTGTGATATTCAGGAATATTCTGCCTTGAACACAGAAGTGGCAGTCTCATGGCTGTCCTGAGATGACAGGAATCAATGAGAGATTGAAGACATAAACATAAATTTTATCCATGCTCTTTCAAGGACCATGCTAAAAGAGACTTTGTGGCAGTTATATGTCCTTACTGTTAGAATAATTTTTGCATGAGCCACCATCGTCAGTCAGATCACAAGTGTGAAAAACTGGAAATCCCAGCCTCATATGGCTGCCACTCAGAAACTTATTAAAGACATTACTGATTCCAAATCAGGAGAGACAGCAAATAAACAAGGGAAAGGTGCCAAAAATAGTGAAACAGCTGCAAAGGAATTGCACTGATGAAATTAAGAATGTATGCTGATAGGAGTAACTCATTGCCACAGATAGAAAGCATTTGCTTTCAAGTTTTCTTACCTAAGGGGAGCAAAAAGAAGGGCAAACCAATGTTCTTTTGCCACAGGAGGAGCATCAGAAAGGTCACAGACTTTGCTCTTCTCTAGCCAGTCTTAAATATGACAATAACAGTCCAGGCACACTGGCTCATGCCTGTAATCCTGACACTTTGGGAGGCCAAAGCAGGAGGATCACTTGAACTCAGGAGTTTGAGACCACCCTGGGCAACATAGTGAGACCCTGTCATTTTATTTTAAAAAAGGAAAAAAAATGACAAAACAAATTAACAGCTAAGAAATTAAGCTGTCACATTACTTCAGGAGAAGCCTTATCCATGGAGCTTACAGTACTTTGGAAACCTGGATTGTTAAATTGGACTGTCCTTTGTAAAATGGTGGAAATATAATCTTGGAATATCTTAATTTTGAATAACAATTTTGTAAATATGTTGAATCTTACCTGGAGTAGTCATTCAAGGATTCAGGCCAGAAATCACAAGGAAAATTCTATATACATGTTTAAATTGATTTCTTTTACTACAAGTATTTTTTTTAATTCTTAAAAGATGCTGCTTTTTTTTTTTTTTTTGAGATGGAGTTTCACTCTTGTTACCCAGGCTGGAGTGCAATGGCGCGATCTCGGCTCACCGCAACCTCCGCCTCCTGGGTTCAGGCAATTCTCCTGCCTCAGCCTCCTGAGTAGCTGGGACTACAGGCACGCGCCACCATGCCCAGCCAATTTTTTGTAGTTTTAGTGGAGACGGGGTTTCACCACGTTGACCAGTCTCGATCTCTTGACCTCGTGATCCACCCGCCTTGGCCTCCCAAAGTGCTGGGATTACAGGCGTGAGCCACCGCGCCCGGCTAAAAGCTGCTTCTTAACTTATTTCCACTTAGGTCATATTTTACATTATTAGTGCTTTTTTTTTTTTGGCGGGGGGTGGGGGAGTTTGGTGAGACGGAGTCTTACTCTATAGCCCAAGCTGGAGTATGGAGGCACAATCTTGGTTCACTGCAACCTCTGCCTCCCAGGTTTAAGTGATCCTCCTGCCTCAGCCTCCTGAGTAGCTGGGACTACAGGTGCATGCCACCATGCCTGGCTAATTTTTTGTATTTTAGTAGAGATGGGATTTCACCATGTTGCCCAGGGTGGTCTCGAACTCCTGAGCTCAGGCAATCCACCCACCTCAGCCTCCCAAAGTGCTGGGATTATAGGCATGAGCCACAGCACCCTGCCTACATTATCAGCTTTCTGTTAAATTTGAGTGTTTGTGTTTAACTATGTACTGATCCGAAATTATTAACAAATTCTTATAATTAATTAGCTTTCATTAGGTTACGCTGCAGTTAACAACAACAAAGGTGCATTTCCTGGTAAGTAATGTCAGTTGTTGTTGACTAGCTATAGCACTGCTGCTCCATGTCATTTTCACTCCAGGATCAAAGGTGAAGGAAAGTACCCTTTTGGGACACTGTCATTCTTTTGGCAGAGAAAGAAAGAGATGAAAGAAACTTCAGTTTTCTCTTATAAGACACATGTACCACATTTGCTTTAAGCAAGTCATATGGCCACGCCCAGCATCATGGGGGACGGAAAGCATAGCCTTGCTGTCTACCTATATCATGATGTATAAATTGATGTGTATACATGAATTGTAGAAACTTAGAGATCATCTTCATTCAATGTCCTAATTTTTGCATGAAGAATGTTAGGCCTAGGACAGGAAAGTGATTTTCATGGTATCACTTAACTGCACTGAGGCATATTTCTGATAAAGACCCACTTTCAGTAGGATTCATCTTTTTTGTTTGTATGAATGTGTTACAAATGAGAAGAAAGATGGGATAACTCAACTTCATTACAGTCTATGTATAAATACCAAAGCAAGACACTTGCCAAAAGTAAATACATTTTATCAACAAATTCAGATTAATGCTCTTGACTGAAGTTTTCTATTGACACCCAGAAAAATACTACTATATAGGCAGAACAAAAATTATTTCTATTTATCCTGTGTCTCTTTTCTAATTGTCATGGACATGCATAATGGTTTTAGATTTACTTAAAGGAGTAAACCTGGAATGCTCAAAAATAAATACAATAAAGTAAGATAAAACTTCTGCTTCTTGAAAGAGACACTTTTAACAGAATGGTAAGCTGCCAGCTGGGGGAATTTGAGAGTCACGTGCTTGATAAAGACTTTTACCTCAAATATACAAAGAACTTTCAAAACAGTAATAAGAAAGCAAATAACCAAGCTTAAAAAAAAATCAAAGAAGATATCCAGATGACAAACACATAAAAATATGCTCAAAACGAATAGAGAAAATCAAATTAAAACCAGAGATACTAATACCTAATAAAATGGCTAAAATTAAAAAGACCGATCATATCAAGTGTTGGCAAGGGTGTAGAAGAACAGGAAAATTTCATACACTGGTGGTGGGTTATGAAAAAGTAAAGGCCCTTTGAAAAACAGTTTGGCAATTAGACATACCATATGATTGGGTCATTCCATTCCTAAGTATTCGTCCAAGAGAAATGAAAGCATACATTCATGCAAAAGTTTATACACAAATGTTTATGGCATTTAACAGCCATAAACATTTGTGTATAAGTTATGAATAAACTATGATATTTCCAAATGATGGAATACTATAAAAATTATTGATATGTGCTACAGCAATGATGACTTTTAAAATCACTATGCTGAATGAAATAATCCATACCAAAAAACTACATACTATATGATTCCATTTCTACAAAATTCCAGAAAATGCAAACTACAGTGGCTGCCTGGGGACAGCAAGGGGGATAATGGAGATGTTCGTTTTCTTGATTTTGGTGACAATTATTTCACAGATGTATACATATGTTAGAATTTATCAAACTGTACAGTTTAAGCATGTGTAATTTATTATGCCAATGATACATCAAAAAACATATTAAAAGTTATTTTCGTTATGATTCTAAGCCAGTAGCATTACATACCTTAATTGAGCACAAAATGGTGCTCTTCCACCCTAATAAACATTTGTGTGTGTGTGTGTGTGTGTGTGTGTGTGTGTGTGTGTAAACATACATATAAACATTTATGTATATACAAATTTATATCTAACATAAAATATGTAATAATATAACATTTTTATTTTATTTATATAGGGCATCTATTTTATTTACATATGTTATATATAAATATAAAATATATAAAATATACAACATACATTTCATTTATATTTATATATAATAAATATATAAAATATATATTATATAATGCATATACGATATTATATATAATTATATATTTTATGTATCAGATATATATAATATATAAATAAAATAGATGCCCTATATATTTTTATATATATAAATATAACAAAATAGATGATGCCCTAAAGATCTTCTGACAATAGTACAGTTCCTAGCAGAACAGAAAACTACTCTATTTAATATCTATTATGAGAAAAGGATATTTTGCTTTCTATGAATAATTTCTTAAAAGATTTTCCACTCTAAACCACAAATTAGGTAGCTATATTGGATTAAATTATTTTATGCTTTTACCAAAGGAGACTATTCAGAGAGTTTAAAATTAAAAAGTGATAGTTTCATTTACTTTTTTAAAATTGATAAAATTCAAGAAGGATTCAGGGAATTTGCCATATTAAGAAAACAAATCTCTAAAGCTATCTGAGCCAGAAGAAAATTTTAGTCTCTTTTAAGACCAACCTCCCATAAAAAAAGACGAATACTTTTCTAAGTAACTTTGATAAATAACGATCCAAAAAAATAGAAAAGAAACATTCTTAATGTAAGTAAATATGAATGGCTGAATATGTATGATAATTGGAGAGAAAAAAAGCCAAGCAACCTCACTCACCTATTCTGTTCTTCCAGTTTAGCCAGGAGTTCTAAGTCGTCTGGACTCAACTGTGATGGGGAAGATGGCGAAAGGGCTGGTGTTGATAATGTGGTAGATGAGGATGTGGTATGTAATGAAGCAGATGGACTTGCCACCTGACTGGCCATCTGACTGACTGTATGCGATACTGTGTTCTTCACCCATGAGAGAGTAGAGCTCAGCTTTTCTGCAACCTTGTCTGTCGCCACCTAAAGACAAAAATAAAAGTTGCATATATTTTAGTTTCACTGTATCTACTACCAATAACTCAATAATTCTGTTAAGATTTACTTAATAACTATCATCATCAGAATATTCTCTTTGAGGAATCAAAGAGATTATAATTAAAAACCTGTTTTAGCAACATTACTCTAATATCCAGCCTTTGCAAACTGTTTGTTTCAGCTCTGCAGCAAGAACAAATCAGAGCAGTGTTCCAAACCGAGACCCACCAGGAAGTGACAAAATCAACCTCATGTTTTAAAAATGAAAAGGATCAAAAATATCAAATTAAAGATATACTGTCTAATGAAATTTTTGTTGTATTAAAAATACATCCTACATGTATATATGTATACGGGTATATTGAGTCAGGATGTAAAATGTATTCTTTCTTGGGGTTTTAGTCAAAAACATGTGCAAGTCAAGGAATTAAAATATGTCCATTAGATGATTAGCGAAATCCTGTAACATGACTAACAATTCAACAAAAACTGGGTGTATTTAACACAAATAAAATGTAATGAGGCCCTTGATCGATCTCTCTTCAAATCACTGAAGAGTGTTGTTATAAAAGAGTACTAGCACCATAGGAAGAAAATTATGATAAATGGCTGGGTTAACAGAATGACAGAGGTTCAAGGTAGAATTTCTAGTAGCTGGTTTATTCAGAAACAGAATGGGATGCCTAGAAAGAGTAGTACATTCCCTACTAATAGCTACCTTAATGTGGTGGCAATTGTAAAAGCCAAATGTCAAGAGTTGGTTAAGTTTCTGTTTTAGGTAGCTAACCACGAAGGAAAAAAGCTTTTAAGATTCCTCTCTTCTCTAAGATTCAATTAATTATACATGTGCTCACACATTTGTCATAAACCATGCCAATCTCCTAAGCAGATATGTATACAACAAATTCAGCTGAAAAAGGAAACGTACATATTGTTCAAAGCTAACAGTGGTTTATACATGGCAATCCATATGAACATGCGTGTACACACACAAATTAAAACACCAACACATACACAGAAAAATCCTGTCCAGACTCCTGGAAGTAGGTACTAACTACTCTCCTCATTGGTTACCCAAGCATTTCCTCCTCCCCTCAATATATACATGGCTCTTTCTCTGTCCCCACTTCCTCCACCTCAATTTAGCAGGAAAATTCCATGTACAGAAAGGATAAAATGGAAAAGCAATTCTAAGGACATAGTTAAGCCACTTAATCTGAGGATAGAGTATCTAGAAGGACAAAGATTCTATTACAAGTGCTGAATAGGGGCAAGAGTTTCATTAAACTCAAGATACTTCTCATTTTCTTTTCATTTGCCAATAATTTTCCCCTTTTAGAACTTACTTCCTTTGCGAATATTATAGAAAGTACCAGTGGGCTCTTACCATTGAGAGAAGAACCCCAAAAAAGAAAAGTCAAATGGTGTAAGAAACCTAAGAAAGAGAAACATGAGATGATCGTTTATGCCTGCTTCCAGGCAAAAGAAGTCCTTCCTGACAACTCATAGATGAGTATAGCTCATCAGGGCAAAAGGCCTTACAGGAATTAAATAATAATTTAGCCAAAACTTTATTTGTGCCAAGAAATGGCAGAAGCCATAGTAGGCACCAAGACAGTCCATTGTGTGACTTGTTATCCTACTGATTTTAGGATAACAACTACAAACTCAATTGTGAAAATGACACAAATTTGCATCCCCAAAGCACACTCTAATATTTAAAAAGAGAAAACCTAAAGTATAAAATTTATTTAAAAAATGGTATACTTTACTAATACTGGCCATTAATTTCAAATATACTTACAATTTTCAAGAATTAATGCTTCACATTTTCATTATATTAAATTCCCCTATTAACTGCCGAAAAAGCAAAAGACATCTATTAATTGCTTCATTAAAACAAATTTATATCATACCCCTTCCGCACACTATAGCAACAGACTTTCATTTAAAAATTTTAGAATAATGAAGAGCACAATTCTGACATACTTTCAACCTCACTGAAATGGAATTCAGCCTATAACTTCTAAGGCTCAAACAACTCATCTTCAAATTTTAAGTTCTTAAATATAGCTAGAGTATTTAATTGCAGTTGCAATTTAATAAAGTTTAGTATTTATAGATTCTAGAAACACCACAGGACTAAATTATTTTTTCAGGTATCATCAAGTACTATTTTTCCTTTAACTCCACCCTGACACCTTTGAATCTCTTTTCCTCAGCCTAGGGTAAATTGAGGTCACATAAATAAATATAAATAAATCTGACAATGTAACTATGTCACAAAGTTCCTGTCTACCTCATAGAGGTGTTATGCATTTATTTTAAAAAGTGAACATACTTTCAAAATGCTAAAACCATTATTAAAAAGGCTTAGCAATCACACACAAAAGGCCACATATTGTACAATTCCATTTACATAAAATTTCCAGAACAGGCAAATCCAGAAACAGAAAGTAGATTAGTAATTTCCAGGACCTGGGAAAAGGAATGGGAACTGACTACGAGTAAGTACAAGATTTCTTTACGGGGTGATGAAAAATATTCTGGGATTGGTCAGCGGTAATGGTTGCACAACCTTGTGAATACAATAAATGCTAATGAATTATACACTTTAAAAGGGGCAAATTTTATGGTATATAAATTATCTCTCAAATTTTTAACTATAGTAAAAGCTTTATATACTACAATATTTGAATACGATCTCCCATGAGAAAGTCATTATAATATCGCTTTATATTTTATTGAAAGGATGCTCATAACTTCCCTAAAATAGATCTATTTTTAAAGATTCCCATTTTAGATCAAAAATCATGAGGGAGAAAAGGCCATGGCAATGGTTAATTACTTCCTGAATCATACTGTGAAACTGAATCACATTTCTAGAGTATAATATTCTCCTTTGGGTAAAGATACTATTGTGGCTAAAGAGGAACTATAAGTAAGGGTACCTGTGCTGTCACTGAGAGTCAAAAACCCAATAGATCTTTAAATGTCAAAAGTTAAATTCCTTTAAAAAAAAAAAAAAAAGATGCAGCACAACAGTACACATTTCATAATATCAAGACTTCAGCTATATACAGATGTCACAAAGATTTACCAATCATTTTGTAGTTCTATCTTTTTACCCTCCCTTAGAGCCAGAGGATACTTCCTATCACTTTTTCATATCTGTTTACTGAATGAACACATAAGATGATTTTAAAATATCGTTACCATTAGTGTACATACAGTTTGCTTATATAAACAGTTCACCATCTAGTATCATTTTATAATCTTCCTTCAAAAAGTACAGGAACCAGAGACAAGTAGCTTTTAACACAGAAGCTCAAACACTTTCAAGTGCTATTGAGGACTAAGAGACTTTTCCACCACCACACCACAATGCAAAACTGCTTTATTTTCTGTCTCTTACTAGCTTCTCCAAAGTATCTGCTGTTTACTCCCGCCCCTCTAATCTGCGTTACACTCACCTTTCTCTCTGCTTTTTCTTTTCTTTTCTGGTTTTTTGACTCTTGACAATTTTCTTACACTTTTTGATTCTCACAAAGCTGGCCTTTATGAGGGACTGCCAATCAGACATCTCATGTTCCTTCCTTGAGATGAGTGGACCAAAAATACACAGGTCAAGATTCGGTTTTATTTTTTATTGGTCTCACTTCTACTACATCAGATATACACGTGTGTGTGTGTGTGTGTGTGTGTGTGTGTGTGTGTGTCTGTGTAAATATACGTATAAAATAAACTAATATTTACTGAGTATCCTGTGTAAGTCACTATGCAAAGCACGGAGACTGCTATAATTAAAGATAGTCCCTGGCTGGGCACGGTGGCTCACGCCTGTAATTCCAGCACTTTGGGAGTCCAAGGTGGGTGGATCATGAGGTCAAGAGATCGAGACCATCCTGACCAACACGGTGAAACCCTGTCTCTACCAAAAAATACAAAAATTAGCTGGGCATGGTGGTGCATGTCTGTAGTCCCAGCTACATGAGAGGATGAGGCAGGAGAATCGCTTGAACCCGGGAGGCGGAAGTTGCAGTGAGCCTAGATCATACCACTGCACTCCAGCCTGGCAACATAGGGAGGCTCCATCTCAAAAAAATAAAAAATAAAAATAAAAAAGATAGTCCCTTACCCTGTCATTATTCCTGTATTTCATATAGTCATATGGAAAAGTATCTAAAATAGTATCTCTATCACTCCCTTTAGTATGCTTGTTAATTGTATAGCAGTCTTGGCCTTAGTACTGAAAGCCAGTATAACAGTTTCCACTTGGTATGGTTTTTAGGAACATTGATGTGAAATTTTGACCAGCTATCTGTGCTACCTAAACTCTACATTCCATGCAACTCCCACCGTATGGTGCCACAGAGGTTTAGAAACAATTTTCAAAGAGGAGAAAGGTGAATTTATGAGCAAACACTTTTTTAGCATTTAAATCACACCAGGTACTATTCTAAACACTTTATATGTATTAAATCTATTTAATCATTAAAATGCTATAAAGTAGGTATTACTATTTTCCTCATTTCACAAATGAAGAAATGACGGCACAAAAATGCTAAACAACTTACATAATGTCACAAAGCTAAAAAGAGTCAAACATAGGCAGTCTTGTTTGAAATTCTTTGCTCTTAGCCATCATCAACAATGAGCAAGACCAAAGGTTGGCAATGGATGTGGTCACTAATGACTTCATTTCACCAAGAGGAGGTAGAAACCAGATTATAGTAAACTGAGGATTATCTGAGAGATAAAGATATAGGAGCTGGAAAATATTCCCATTCCTGCCACAATGACCTTTATTCTTGAGATTTCTTGAATCAGGCTAATTTCTAAAGGTTGGAGATTCCAGAAAGATGGTCAGGATATTATTACATAACAAATCCTACTTTAGAAAAAGGCCTTCAAACAGACAGTATATTCATTTGATTTTTATTTTAAAAAGAAAAAAAAAACTGGTACAATCCAGACAACTGGGC